CTTTTAATTTCACATTTACTAAAAGCAGCCACTTCCTTAATGTCCACTTTCCTTTGCCAAACTATAATCTCATGAGGACAAAAACGATGGGTTTTTTTTTTCTCAGTTCAGTATCCCCAGCATTTAGACATTATTTCTCGATATTTTACCTGGGGACATGCAGCATCCTCCATTCCCAACTCTCTCCCACCCTGTCTGCCTGACCAGCTCAGCTGGTGCCTTCAGACCTTCCCTAGATCTCTGCTTCTCTTTTGTTTACCACTTTGATCCTTAACTGTTCCTACCAGTAACCTCAAGTTAGGTTTGGGGTAGATAAATGACAATTTGGCTTCTTCTTTCCTGTTGTTGTTGTTATTTTCCTGCTACTACACCTAATCTGTGAATGGTGTTATTAATCATCCACCTTGACATTGTACTGCTTCAAGCCTGTCAATGATATTTATTTGATCTCTGGATGAGAAAGGATTTTCTAAGCATAAAAGCAATAGAAGAAATCACTAAGGGAAAGAAAATCAATACATTTGACTACACCAAATTTAAAACTTCTGGATGACAGAAACCATTCTAAACAAAACTAAAAGGCAAATGACAAGTCTGGGGAAAATATATGCCATAAATATGACAAAAGGTTGTTATCCTTCACATATAAAGAGCTCTATAAATCGACAAGAAATATACTAAAACTCCAGCCAAAACATGGGCAAAGAGCATGAATATACAAATAACTTAATAAACCCATGAAAAATGTTTCCTCACCAGTAGTCAGGGAAATGCAAATTAGCACAGTGCTAAACCTTCCTCCACCTATCAAATTAGGACAGCATTAAAGGATGGTGAGGGTTCGGTCTTCATTGGCTGGTTTCCCAGGAAAAAGGAAGCAAGCACTGTTTTGACTTTCAATAGCTCACTCCCACCCGGAGGAACAGTGAGAAGAACTCACAAGGCCCACAAGACTCTCCAGGGTCTTGCCCTCACCTTCCTCTCTCACCATGCCCCAGCTCCCATCTGACACTTGCTGGCTTAAAACAATTGTGACATCCTGAGCACAGTGTGGAATGTCATGCTTCCCCAGGGTGCCCTTCCTGTCCAATGCTCTGTTCCCTTCTATCTCCGCCTTCCCTGATCCTGCCCGATCTTTTTCTCCTAACACCTACTCCTCCTTGGCAATCCTTCCAAGATGACACCTTCAGGAAACTCATGAGCTGGATTTTGTGCCCTCGCCCTGTTCTCTCATTAAGCACACATTCCTTACTTAGCACTTGCCAGGCAATACTGAAAATGACTCTTTATGGCTTTCCTTCCACCTCAGATTGTATGTGCCTCAAGAGGGACATTATGTTTTTTTCTTATTCCTCTATCTCTGGGCTTAGTCCAGTTAGGTGCTCAACAGATGCCTCTTGAACTAATCAATCATGTAATAAATTAATGATTCCATTTTACGCCATAAATTTTTGCCACTATTCTGGTAAGTGTAAGTTTTACATAAAATAGATAAAATTAAGTCATTTGGGATGGAGAGAAAATACCTCACCCATGCCCTGACCCTCATTTTAGTGTCCACGTGTCATCATCCTGTGGGTCTTAACCAATTATGGGCCGTGAAATTAACTCATGGGTCATGACCACCATTTTTAAATGAAAATTATTAAAAGAGAATAGAATGACTCTTTTTACCTGTTCTTTCCTTTGCATTTGCAACACTTCCATTATTTTTGTTCCTCCACCCACCTTGCCCTGGCAGGACAGAGCAGTGATTAAATATACAAGTTGGGGAAATGAAGTTCTTGCTCTCATTCCTATTTATTATGAGATCCCAAGGAAGCTACTCAGCTTCCTAGGCTTTAGTCTTCTTCCCTAGAAAATGGAGGTGAAAAGATAAAGATAAACTCGGTTGAGGGTGTATCTCAGTGGTACAGTGCTTAGCCAGCGTGCATGAGACCCGGGGTTTGTTCCCCATCACCTCATGAAAAATTCAGATAGGCTGAAACAAGAAAGACCCTTCAAATTCTCAGCACCATCCATCAGTGCTTCTGGCAAACAGTCACTGTGGGTGCTCGAGAGCGGACAGCACACTACACTATTCCCCAGAATGTTCTGTTATCATGCCCGCGTCTTCCTCTGTTCCTGACCAGTTGCCCACCCTGCCTTTAGACTGATTCAGCTTTGAGCCCCTCAGCCTTGGGGGAAACATGTGGCACAAGGCAAATTTTGAATCCTAAGGCCCTCAGGTTCTCGATTCTGAAGGAAATATGGCCTTCTAAATTGCGAACCTGAGTGTTCAAAGTCTCCATGGTTTCCATGATGCACCCCATTACGCTCAGGATAAATCTAAGCTCCCTAAGGTGACCTATTTACAAGGTCCCTTCTGACCTAATACCCTGCCGACTTGTCCAGCCTCTCACCCCTACATTCCACCCTCCGGCTCCCCAGTCACCTGCACTTCCCAAGCAAGCCATGCTCTTGGCTCTGGGCCCTTCCCAGGTTGTGCTGTCTGTCCTCATCTTGTTCAGGTTCCCACGCAGGCTTCAGCTCCCCCAGTTTCTGCACACCATCCCCTCCATTCCAGCCAACTCGAGTGCTCATTTGAACCTTTTGCTCCACATCCCAAGCAGCCAGCACAGCACCTCCCCCAGAGGAGGCTTTCACTACACCTGACTGGAGGGACAGCAGAAGGAAAGGAGGGGAATTCTTTTTACTGACACCTTTCCCACATTCCCAAGAGAACCATGAACCTCTGAACTGAAAGCTATGTTCTCAAGATCAGGCTCCCCCAGCCCAGTCTGGGGAATGACGGAGGCCAGGGTAAGCACTGGGGGAAGGTGGCCGCTAGTACCACACATTCCTGCTGTGGTTTCAGGGGCTGTCTTCTCCCAGAGGAATGTGAGCTTGCACAATCCAGTCTCTGATCGCTAATGAGGCTGAGAGCTCCCACTAGCTTCGTGGCATGAAATGCTTGGGATAGGGCAGTAACAAGGGTTGGGCTGTCCTCTCTACTGCAATGGTTTTAGATCACTGGCCACTCGATTCCAGGGCCCATGAACAGCAGTCCCTGCTTGGACAAAGCCATGGTGACTGAGGTGACAGCCCCGGGTCAGCTGCATCAGGGCATGGGGGATGGTGGGGAAAGAAGAGTTGACATCGATTATGCAGCACCAAGTACAATTAGGCATGTCACGTGCTTTGTTTTGTTAGACTGCTGTGCCAACCCAATGAGTCAGAAGTCTTGATTTTACAGATGAGAAAGACCAGAGAGGTTAAGTAACTCGTCCAACCTCATACAGTAAATCGCCACGTCCAAATTTAAATCTTGCTGTGCCAACCCAATGAGTCAGAAGTCTTGATTTTACAGATGAGAAAGACCAGAGAGGTTAACTCGTCCAACCTCATACAGTAAATCGCCAGGTCCAAATTTAAATGTAATTCCATGACTCCAAATATCTTGTTCTATTTACACCGGATTTCTATCCCTGAGTAATTCATTAGAATCTGAGTCTAATGGTCCTAATCCAGGGTACGAGGGGTGTGGAGGTCATGGAAGGATGACTCTGCCACTGTGTACGTAAACACCAGTGAATCAGGGACTTTGGATGTACCCATCCATCACCCGGGAAACCATACCTGGCAGACTGTCCTGGGACCCCCGTGCTTACCACCCAGGCCCTCCCCAGGGATAACCTGCAGCTAAATCCCCCAAGGTCTAGAGCAGTGGGATTATCACTACCCCAAAGGCGATGCTTCCACCTCAACCACTGCCCCCAATACCAACTACACAGAGGCTTCTTAACAGCACTGGAGAGGAAAGGAAAACCACACCGCAGCAGCACCACCGGAAACCCTGCAAGCCAGCAGGTACTCTCCAGGTCTTCGGACACCTCTCCTCCCAGTGGAAAGGGCGCCTCCGCTCAGGGACGCACCAGGATGGGCGAGGCTTGGACAGAAGCAAGGGAAGGCTCCGTGTGGGTGGTGGGGCGTGGAGATGGGGGCCGGGGCACCCATCCAGAGCTGCTTCTGTCCAGTTCGGGACTCTGGCCCAGGTGAACATGCAGGGGACACTCACAGCTGTGGCAGCCTCTGCAACCTCAGCACAGTGGTTTCCAGTCCGGTGATAAAAGTTAGGTTTTTAAGAGGGAGGACTGCTGGGTGTGGAGACACAGGCCTGTAATCCCAGCCTTTGGGAGTCTGAGGTAAAAGGAGAGCTGTGAATCTAAGGCCAGCTGGGGCTACACAGGGAGACCCTGCCTAAAAAAATAAAAGTGTGTGTGTGCAGGGGCAGGGGGATGACGGAATAAAGACTAGGGTTGCCTTTATATAAAGGTCTCAAACAGAACACTCCAAGTGATTGTGTGGACATTTCTCAGTCACAACTTGCCAGTGAAATGGGAGTTCATTACATAACACATATTGGGGGTTAATGGTTGTAAACAATCGTTAAGGTCTGAATCAAAAATGTCCCCCAAAAGGCTCATGTATTCAGAGGTGATCAGACCACAGGGGGTACTAAGCTCATTAGTGAATTCAACCATAGGTCAGTGGGCTATTCAGGAGGTGGGGTCTGACTGGAAGAAGTTGGTCACTGGGGACATCACTGGGGGCATGCCTTGAAGGGAGTCTTTCCTCGGCTTTTCCTCTCCTCTCTGCTTCCCAGGTATTATGGTTTGAGCAGCTTTCCTCCACCAGGCCCTTCTGCCGTGATGTTTCTTCCTTGGCGCCAGCTGACCATGGACTGAAACCTCTGAAACTGTGAGTCACAGTAAACCTCTCCTTCTTTAAATCGTGTGTGTCAGGTATTTTGGTCCCAGTAACAGAAAAGTGACTAATACAACAATCAATAGTTTCTCTATTCTGCAGTCCATGAGAATGAGCTCCAGCCTTCCTCTCCTGACTCTATATCCCAGGTAGGGTGTGCTGGTCAGAAGCAACCTGTCTTCCAGAGCACAATGAAATGTGCCAACAAACAAGTGATTGTTCATCTCCACCCTGAATTTGAGATTAGGGGATCCTGGTTCCTAGCATTAAGCTGAGGGATTTTTTTTATTTAAATTAGGACAGAGAAAATGATATGAAAACAAATATACAGCTCCAATCATGCTTAACAACACGGGACACAAACCAGGGAAGCCCCCGAGCCAGCCCCCTTTCAAAAGTAGTACCAGAACTGGATTGCAGGAGCACAGGCCTATAATCCCAGCATTCAGGAGGCTGAAGCAGGATCATGAGTTGGAGGCCAGTCTGGACTACAAAGAGAGACAGAGAGGGAAACAGAAGCACTACTACGAAGAAGCAAAGTACTTCAGGCTTTCTTATAAGAAAGCATATATGCTTTGAAATTATGCAATTTGTGGCTCATACGTTAATTTCACGATTGTAATTCTGGGCCCTAAAATCTTGAGTCATAGAAATGCTCCTCCTCTTTCAGTTTTTGCAACACAGATACCAGAAGAAAAAAGAACACACCCTTGGTAGATGTCACTGCTGATGCAGAAACCTCCTTATGGTGGGGTCTTCGCCAGTGCCTGAACTCTAGGGTCCTTAAACCTCCTTCTGGGACACACATGAGATACCTTCAGGATTCTCAGGCTCTCTCCTTCCATCCTCCGTTTTCAAATCCATCCCACCACAGACGATGCGTGAGTTTGACTCAATAACCACACATTGGAGGAAAACATAAGTACAAATCTACTATTCACCTAGAGGTAGCTAGGTAAAATGCAGGCATAATGATAAAAAGGAAATAATCAATTGTACAGTGCTCAGCTTCAAACCCAAACCTGTAAGAGGAAGAAAGGTCTCGGTGCCTCCAGGACCAGGCAGGTAACACAAATAAACAAACAGGTCAGGTGAGACCATCTAAGGTGAGAGTACAAGGAGAGGCAACCTCTACTTAGTTCTAACTGATTGTCCCTCTTTTAAAACTGCAGATCAGAACTGTCACACCTTCTGATTGCTCAAGAGAAGCCAGAAATTCTGATTTTAATATGAAACTCCTTGATTTTTAAAGGGCAGCTCAATTTTCTTGCAAACACTAGGAAGCTAAATCAAGCTGACAGTGCCCAATCTTCCACGCTCTTCTGTACAAATGATGGACGGTGTCTCCCCTAACTGTGGTATTAGACTGCCACTCTTCAGACACCACTTGCCATTGCAACAGAGGCATCCAAGCACAGCTGCAGTCCTGAGCCCTGGAGAATAACTAACTCTACAGGGAAAGTGGCGAGCTCAGCTGAACCACCCAGGCACGGAGCAGGCCACCTTGGCCACCTGCCCACCTCTAGGACTAAATGGCCGACTGCTCCTGCAGGAAGCCTTCAGGACCGGGGAGGCTTTTCTCTGGCTCAGAAGCCAGAGCTGCCTCTCGAAGGACTTCCAGGTGCTCCTCGGCAGCTGACAGGGACTGGTCGATCCAATCCAGGCCCCCGGTCAGGTGACAGGCATTCCTGGTCACCAGCACGAGATGACTGACAGACAGAAGTAGGGCAGTCGTCCTAGGGAGGAAAAAAAAGGATCAGATTCCCTGGGAAAGGAGGCATTTAGCACAAAATCCCAAATGGATACACGGTAGACTACCATTCCACACATTGGAGACCCTTCCCTGGGAGGTCGGTGGGAAAAACAGAACAATGGTTGGACACTCAAATAGATTTGTGGATGGCCAGGTTAAACAAGGTTAAATGAGGCATGTCTTGGAGCTTTTGTTGAACCTGAGAAGGCTTCCAGGGAGACTATAAGATGCTTTGTCTCACAAACTTATTTAAGGCTGCAGAAGCCACTTTCTGCAGCTCACCTATTACCATCTCCCAGAAGAGCGTTTTGTGCAGCATTTGAGAGCTGGTCAAGAGGATGAGCAGATCTCCGACTGCTGCCTCTTAAAGACCACCTTGAGCATCCTTTATTGATCACAAATCAATAAAGCTCAAGGATAGCTTACCCAATCTAAAAAAAAAAATTTTTTTAATTGAAAATCAAACTGAGGAGGAGTTTGTTTTCGTTTTTGTTTTTGTTTTTTTCAGTACTGAAAGATTTAGAGTAAAATACCTTCGATACAGTGAGTCTGCCGTATACACGGGGGCTATGTGACGGATTAGTAACCCAGGGAACAAAGAGGAGCAGCAGCAGGAGTGGGGCAGAGAAACCAAAGCGGAAGTCCTATGACTCACTGCTTATCAGCACCCAGTACACAATGCGCCTGGGAGAGAATCTTAAAAAGCACAGGAGCAGAGGGGAGGAGGAGGGGGAGAGAGTTTAATGAGTTTACGTCTAGTATAGAAACCCAAGTTATTTCATAGGGCCACGAACCCTACGTTAGGGGAGGGTCGGGAGGAGTGTCTCTGGGGTGCCCAGGGGAGGTGAGTACTAGGAGAATGTGTCCCCTCCACTCCTTGCTCTGCTCGCCATGGCCTCCTTGGCAGCCCTCACGCCTGGGTGTGTCTGCTTCTGGAGTCCAAAATTCAGAGGGACTGGCAGGGGAATGAAGGGAGGGGAGGCACAGCTAAAACTTGGCATGGCCAGATGTAAATCACGAAATTCCGTTTTTCTTTTGGTTTTGTGAGGCAGGGTCTTGCTTTTGCAGTTCAGGCTAGCCCTGAACTCACTATGTAGCCTCCTGCCTCAGCCTCCCAAGTGCTGGAATTACAGACGTGCACCACTACGCCCACAAAATTCTGAAACCTCCAACTGGTTCTTTCTTCTCAGGGGTTTCCGAAGGAAGTCTGGCCTCTATCACCCGGCCAGGCCTCGTCCACCAAGTGGCTGACGGCTCACGCCACAGTGAATTTACTCAGAACTGGGGCCGCCATGGGAACCCAGCAAAACAGCTCTCTCCACACAGCGTGATTGGCCAGGCTTACAGATGTGACGGGACAGTGAACCTCAGTGTGAAGAGGCAAGCAGGTGCATCACGCCTCTCACCGTGCATCCAGCAGCTTGGGGTCCAGCGGAGGGTACATGGACTTCACAACGTCATCCACTCTGAGGGGAGACAAAAGCAACCACTTTCAGTATTTCACTTCCCTTCCGTCCTTTTCACCTGCCCTCCTCACTCCCTGTACTCCAGTCCTTCTCCGCGGAAATTCCAGACCCTGTCTCCCGTGGTTCTCTAACTACTTCTGCTGGCTCAGTTGAAAGACTTCAGCTTCAGGTTACAGAAAACTGTGCTTCCTGGTTGTTTCAGTTCCGACAATGTAAACACAGGCGGTCACACACACAGACTGATGTTCAAGATGACTACTAAGTTAGAAAGGCAACCGCCAAACAATTTGTAAAGCCTGATAGGGCCCATTTGTATAAAAACAAACAAAAGCTATGACATGTAAGAAAAAAACCTGGAGGACTATTTATTTCCTGAAATTAGGAGGGAGCAGAATTACGGAGCACTCCACTTTGCAGAAGAGCTGTTTCTGCCATCTTTTAACTTTTATAAGCATTTAGTACTTTTGTGTTCAAGAGGGGAGGAGTCACAGCTACGGCAGTTACCCACAACACTAAAAAAAAAAGTCACAAGCTTGATTTAAGTTCAAACTGCTCCAGTGTGTGCCTTTTCCCACGTGATACGGTTCAAGGTTCATTTTTGTTTGGTCAAGCTCAGAAAGATAACTACAATCCATTCTCATTTGCAGAGTACAAGGTTTTGCTCTAAATCTTTGCCCACAGGCCAATTGCTAGGAAGGACAAATAAGGACATATTGTTTGGTTTCTTGAAAAAAGATGTCCTCATTCTTACTGAGGGCTGAGGAGCTGGTGGGGGAATAAAGAGACAGAGTTGCCCTGGTCACCTGTCTTGCCAGCCTCTCCCTTTCTCTCTAGTGCCCACGGAAGAAGCCACTCTCCCTGAAATAACAGGCCATAATATATTCTACGGAAAAAATGGAGAAGGGAATCGGCCTGAAGGAGAAAGTATGAGGGAAAGAAGACAAAGCCCCCACTGAATTTGGCAGCAGGGAGTAAGGAAGTAGTCCAGGGAGCTCGGTAGAACCAGGACGGCCCACAGGCACCAGGGCAGGCCCTCGCTACCCTCCCTGGGGGCATCATACCCTCACCTCAGCACACAGCCAATCCTGCTCACCCTCAAGACACCTCAGTGTCCTGCCTCTTCTGAAATGCTGCCTCCTAACTTGTATCACAGGGACTGTCCAGCCCCTTGGGTGGCTCTTGGAAGAGACAAAAAGTAGGATGAAGAGTCAAGCAGGTATAAGCCATGCAGGATCTCCAATAATAATGAGTGGGTGACCAGCAGAACGAGCCTGGGTAGGGACTGGCAGACACTGATACCAACCTCAAAGCTGCCTCCACTGGGGGCAGCTCCAGAGAAAGCCAAGAACTGCCCCCACTGAGTCCCTCTCTGAATGGCCTCCCTCATGCTTCCTCACCTCACTGAACTCCCTGGACAGAGTTTAAGTGCAGTGAGACATGTATCCCTCAGAGGACCTCACAGGCCGTCCACCCACAGGAAGCTGGTTGTCTTTGTTTGGCTCATCTTGAGGCAGGGTAAGAGCTGGTTCCTCATGATTTACCCGAAGCCAAGGCAACAAAGAAAGTGAGGCCCCTAGAACTGAGCAAAGGGGTGCTTCAGGGAAAGGGCCAGGTGGCTGATAAGGAAAACATCCTGAATTTGGATTATTTCTAGACTTGGGCATATCCACATACCAGCCACCAGATGGCAGCACAAACTTAGTACTGTCCTGCCCTTTGCTTCAAAAAAAGGGCTTTATTTTTTCTTTGCAAAGTGGAGCCCGGATGGGGGAGGTTGTAGTTGTTGATTGCGATCCTGCTGGTTGCCTCCCACATAGGATTTCTGCAAGCAGCCTGGAATTTAGGAGGTCAGTACATTGTATGGCTTCACCTCCCACCCGGTCCAGAAGGCTGCTGGTTGAGATGTGGAGCGGGGGTGAGTGAGGGCCACCACATCAGGCAGAGGTCCCCAAACTAGCCCACAGTACAGATACAGGCTGGGCACAAGGGCAGGGCCAGGAGGTCACTGGAAAAAGGAGGTGGGTGCCAGTGGGAAATGCTGACTTGCTGGAAGATGGAGAGTAAGGGAAGGCAGAAAGGAAGTCCAGCCGGAATGTGTCAGGGAGAAGGGAGAGGCCACCAGGGAGCTGTAGAACAGACTGTCAGAACCAGTAACACTGGAGGTATTCAAAAGCCTCTCAGAAGCATGCTGAAGGTGAGGATCATGGGAGAGTGGCTCAGCTGAGGCATCCCCATATCCAAATTTCTGGACGTATTTGAGACACAGACAACTAAAGGTGCCTACCTACTACAGCCTGGCATACCAGCTATCTTAGCTTCCCCCATGGAGTATGGGGACCTCAGGGCGCTGACCACTCACCTGGGGCTGATCCGCTTGGCCACCACAATGATGTCACTGACGCTGGCTGAAGTCTTCATCTTGGTCCCTGAGCCCATTGTCATGGCAACAAGTTTTTCTGTCAGAGTGTGACAAATCTAATGCAACAGAGAGAGAGGTGATGACGGGTGACCCGGTTCCAAGGGCTTCTGCCACCCTCACAAAGACAAATATGGCCCCATCTTGGGCGCTGCCACACAGCTGGCCCTTTACCGTAAGGCCTGAGAGGTAGTAAAAGGGATAAGATGAGAAGAAATGGGGTGGGGAAAGTATTGTGGGGGACACCTCAGATCAAGGGCACAGCTATGGCTCAGAGAAGTCTAAGCGGGAATAATCCATCCAAGAACAATCATGTGCTCTGACTTCACCTTCTCACTTAGGGAAAATACTGGACTTTCTATTCCTTCACCTCGCACGTAAATCTCCCAAAAGGACTATTTGTGGCCAAGTGCCTGCAGAAACAGGGCTGGACAGACAGCAAGTGTTCCCAGCACGCACATTCTCCAAATAATGGTACTCATTTCAACGATTTTCAAGGGTAAAACATCATTGTCAGATGATGATGAAAGGACCTTAGCAGTAGCAGGTGAGAGGCAAGCCCACGACCCATGGCCCTTTTCATCACCCAGCAACAGTAGTAGCCACCATCATCCCCAACTCCCAGGTTGTTTCCCCCAGCCTCCTCCGGGTGAGAACTGGGCATGTTCCTGTCCCTGCAAAGGAGGCCCACTGCCTGCTGTGTACCTGGGCCTGGAAAGGAGCACACCAGGAAGAACGCCCAAGCCCTCTCCCTCAAGGTCCCACCACAGGGTTCAAGGGCAAGTGACCATGCTCAAGAGTTTGAAAGCCCATGAGGAGGATGAGAGGCTCATTACTTTGATCTGAGCTAAGATGGACACTGATTTCAACTAGTAAGACTGTTCCCAGCCAATCCCTCTCCCTCCACAGGTGCCATTTATCTGACAGGTAAGAGACAAGGCCCAGTCACAGGACAAATACTGGGTGGAGAAGGAAAACAGAATTTGGCTTAATTGCCATAGTCATTATACCTATTTATATCTATAACTATACCTGTGTCTACAGCAATATTTATACATCCAAAGAGCTTCCTGGAATTAAAGAATAAGCCCAGACTCTGAAGCAACCATTTCTTTTTTTTTTTTTTTTTGGTGCCAAGGATCGAACTCAGGAAGGACCTTGTGCTTACAAGGAAGGCAGTGGAACCACTGAGCTAAATCCCCAGTCCAGAAGCAACCATTTCTTAGTAAGCTTTCTTTGCTCCAACAGAGAAAGCCAAAGAAGACATAGGACGAAGAATTCTTAGTATCTTGCACTAAGTGACAAGGTTGTCTTTTTTTTGAAATCTTGAATAACTAGACAAAGAGACAAAGGTACAGTTACTCGAGTGAAGAAGCTCTTATTTGCAATTAGCCTAACACTTGAGGATTATTACTCTATTCAGCAGAGTAGTATCAGGCAAGAATCACAAAACTAATGCTGAAATATAAAAATTACTGCAATGTAAATTGGATGCAATTTTCCAAAGACATCAAGCACTCAAAGTCTGCTGCCAGGCTGAAGTAGACGATTTGGGTTTTTTAACTCTGACATTTGGCTACTGTCATAGCCCAAACAGCTAGGTGAGACTTTCCATAACTGAAGTCCAAATACAAAAGTCAACTTGCTGAACAGGCCTGAGCTCTCTGTTAAAAAAAAAAAAAATGTGTGGGAAAAACACTACACAGCCTTGAGCATGTAGCTTTCCCCTCAGTTGGTAAAACTGTGGCTAGTGACCACGCAGATTGTCTGACCAGCAGATCATTGCGTTAAGCGGACCAAATGAAGTGAAGCCTAAAAAAGGTATTACGAACACTACAGTAAAACAGACCGAAAAGGTGGGTGCAGACACAGACAGTAGAAAATGCCAAGTGTCAGGGTGAAAAAAAGCCTCTTGCAAGGGTTCAGTGCACTTCCTAATGTCTCCGGTCTACACCTGCGGTGTTCCGGTGACTGCCCTGGATCTCAAGGGGAATCAGAGTATTACCTTCAAGATGGCAATGCAATGGGACATGAGACCCCTGGGGAGACAAGAAGAAGGCGTTAGTGCTGATCTAGAGAGCCTATCCCCACCCTGCTCCTCATCCAGTGCTGACCAGGGGCACAGCTGGATACCACCTGAGGGCAGTAATGCCTTGCTGTGAAATCAACAAGCCCAGGATCCTTTCCCTTGCCCCTCTATACCCTACCTAGTTCTCCAGCCAGCTCAGCTCCCCACCTAGCAAGCCATGCTTTTTACAACTCTGCCTTTCTGGTAGACTGTTCCCTTTGCCCAACATGCTCCCTCTTCCTCTTAGGCTCAGCCTGGTGAGCTCCTTCTAGCCCTTTATTTCACATTGAAAGATACCCTTTGTAACATCCTCCTAGACAGCCATCTTGACCTCTCCCACACCAGGCTACCTCCTCCGAGTGCTCACTACACCACACACAGAGATTCTCTATATCTCCTGTGATGCTATAATTCTAGTTTCCCCAACATTGAATATCTGTGGGGCCAGGTTCAGTGCCCTGCGTTTAACAGCCCACAAACATGTGCCCAGTGAACGGATGGATAACTGCATGGCTAAGGGGCTAGAAGTGGCACAAACTTCTCCTGATGGATGAAGAGGTCCCTGAGGGATGCTCAGGACAACACTTCACCCCTGGAGCCTGACTATCAAATTTGTGGGTATCCTAAGAACAACCCAAGCACATAGGGGTGACTTGATAACAATCTCTGCTGCACTTGTAAAGGCCTTGGGTATTCAGGTCTACAAAATGGCAGGCGTGTAGGGTACAAGGATAAACACTGTTGTGTCCTATTCTAATTTTCCCCAATTGAGGACCAGGGAAGCACCACTGGCTGCCCAGGGGAGTGCTCTGCCACAAGGAGGCATAAAGAGGCACCCAGGAGCCCCTTTACCATCCCCTGGGGGCTACAGGAAAGCAAAAAGTCCCAAGGCCTTACGAGGCATCTTCAATCCAGTCTTCATTCTCCAGAATGGCCTCAATGTGGGGGTTGGTGATGACAACATCATCCAGTTCTAATTCAGAGGGCTCAGACTGGGTCTCCATGGCACCAATGAGGTCCACAATGGGCCTGGAAGGAAAAATCTTGTTACAGTTTCAGGATGAGTGAAGCTGTTGACCTTCTTCTCATTGAAGCCCACTGACACAATCTGGGTCTGGATGTTCCCCAAAAGCCCGAGCATTAAAGGCTTGGTCCCCAGGATGGACTACTGGGAGGCAGGTGGAGCCTACTAGAAGATCCTTAGATCACTTGCCTTGAGATTCTACCACGTGATCTCTACCTTTGCTATCTAGCAGCCCCTCTAGAGGGATAAAAGCAATGGGTCATCCAGATCATGGACTACACACTCCAAATCATCAGCATTTTCTTTCTGTAAGTTAATTATCTCAGGTATTCCTCAGGTGACAGGAAGCTGACTAATACAACTACAAGAACAAAAGGAGTTGATAAATACAGCAGAGTCTACTTGTCCTGGATCCAAACCTAACCAACTATATAGTTATATATATATAGTTGATGACAAGGGCGAGGGCTAAGTTAAGGAAGCAGCCAGGAGCACCATAATAGGAATGAAACCAAATCAGATGAGCTTCTGAAAGAGTAGAGCTATGATTATACAATTACAAAGATGTATTAGACAGAGCTACTCTCCTTCATCACTTATTTGCCTGTCAACCCTACATTGTATGGAAAGGACAATGTTCCTATTACCCCAGCCTACCTGTACCCTCTACCCAGTCTGCAGAATCACTCTTGGGAACCACCTTTATCTCCTCTCTATGCCCTGCTTTGGAGAAGTGAGAGAAGTCACAAAAAACTTCCTCCTCCACAGGATTCTTTAAATCCTGAGATGCTGTGGCATTCTTTACAACAGCAGAGCTTTCCTGGATTATTTAAATGGGCATTTACAAATTATTGACTACTCAACAGATGTGCTGCTAGAACTGACAGAAGGATAACAAAAACTAAAGGGACAGTTGCCATGGTCCTCTAAGGACCTCTAGCAATTAAAACATCTTTAGTTCAGTAGTAGAATGCTTGCCTAGCATGTCCTAAACCCTGGGTTCAATTCCCAGTACCCCACCCACCTTCCAAAAAAATCCCTAAACTGAAAATAGGATCTTGTTTACAAAATCTACTTCACCTAAAATGCGTCATGAGAAATCTGCCGTATGGAGATAGACTGGCCTATACTAGGATTTTACCATGCGGAGTATCTGTGGTTTAGATGTGTGACTGAGGTGGGCATGAGATTTCTGTCCCCAGGGTTTGGTTGGAAAGGGATTTACCCTGTCCCATTGCTAAATGGCCTGCTGTGTATAGATGACTGTGCCTTCAAGCTAGGTGAACCTTCTCAACAGCTCCGTGAACAAAGAAAGAAGTAGCTCAGGATAGTGGGACCTTAAGGAAGATTTTTAAGCTCTGAGGTCTTTCCTAGGAAGACCAGCCTCCAGCTACCATTTAGGAGAGAGAAAGTTGAACTCGTACGGCCGAGCACTCGACTGCTCGTGCTCCTCTATGCTTTGGTGAGAGTCTCTCCTTCCCCTCCACAGGTCCACTCACTTGGAATCATAGCGCTGCAGCAGGTCTCGGGGCCGGCAATAGCGCTGCCTGCACACTACCACCAAGGCTGCAAATGATGCCAGGAAGATGGTGGCCAGCACGCTTATGGCAACAATCACCACAGTCTCCATGCTTCTGGCTGGCTCCCAACTCAGCCCTGCTCACATCCTCCACACAGGACGAACACGAGGCAAGGCAGACCTAGCAAAGAACCCATGAAAGAAGTGACAAATGGGGCAGGCAAGGGCATGAGACAATAAGTTTCCCTAAGTCACCTGCAGAGACCTGAGGACCTGAAGATGATCAAGATGTGCTTTATGCCCTGCTCAAATCTGCCTTTTCTTTTGGGAAGGCTGCTTCCCAGTTGGACCAGGATGGGTTTTTAAACCTGGGACAAAAGGAATCATATTACCTAGCACCAGTGTCTTCACATCTACAAAACCTGGGCATGAAAGAACATCTGCTAAAGAAGGGGAGACTGGGATCACGCTGACAGAGATCTGTGCCAGGCCTGTGTTCATTCTCCCAACCACAAACAGTGAGGAAGGCAACAGTGTTCTTACTATTAAGCAAGGAAAGTGTGGTTCAGGGAGGCTAAGGAATATGTTCATGTCATCAGAGCACAGAAAACCACCCCCTAAAACTGAAATGGACATTCACCTTCCTTTGCCTTTCTGAGGAGGAAAGAAGATGGTAAAAATGTTCCACCACTCACTGACTATTGCCTGGTCCTACTCAGGAAAACCTTTCACAGTCATGCATGGCTCAGGGTCACAGGTATGTCCTGACACAAGTGTCATCACCAGAGTGTATTTATGCAAACTAAGACAGCTATGATGACACTAGATGATATAATCTGTTGTATATGTGATCTGTCACTTAATGAAACGCCCTTAATACTGTCCAAAATTGTATTGCAAACTCACAGAGTCTGCACAGAAACAAGGGCACCTCAGAGAAGTGCTTACTCACAACATTGTTTCTCTGTGGGCTTCCTACCTGCATACCTTTCAGCAAGTCTCCCCCCCCCCCCCCGCTTTAATTTCTTTGCCTACAACAAGGACTGCTCTGACTTAAGAGTCTCTATGAGCCAGAAGAGTACATGTCCTCTATTTGCACTGAAGTCTATGCTCCATGTCTTAGAGGATCCAAATGTTCTTGGGGGTCACTCAACAAGTATATATTCATCATCTACAAGGCATCATGGACTGGGCTGATTTCTGAAGATCGGGGATTTTAAAAATAAATAAATAAAAAGGGCTGGGGATTTAGCTTAGTAGCACCACATCTGCCTCGCAAACAGAAGGTCCTAAATTTGATCCCCGGTGCCAAAAAATAAAAAAATAAAAAAAAAAACATTGACGACACAGCTCCCAATCTTGAGCTGTTGGAAACAGACAAGTAGAAAAAAATCCACTTTAACTGTCTGTGTCTGACTGATGTGCAGAGGTATGCAGAGGAACTGCATTTGCATGAGACTTCTGGGAAAGCCTTCTTCACAGGGCTAGTGATACTTGAGCTAGGTTTTGAAGGATGAGTAGAGCTTACCAGGTAGGCAAGGTGGGAATCTGGTTGGCGTATAGTGCCAAGAAGGCCTTCTCAGAGGTTTCCAGGACTGTCTAATAGGTCTTTCTTCTCTACATCTCTCACAGTGTGAGGAGAGAAGTTAAATCTCAGTTTCTGCCTGTTTCTCCTAGATATGTAGTCCTCTGTACTGTCCCCTCCACGTCTACCTCCGTTAGCCTTTGTTCTCTGCCTCTCTTATCTGTCTTCACTCTGCTGTCTTCCCCTCCCGTTCTCAGAGTTTCCCTCCTTCTCGCTCCCCGGGCCCCCAGGTCTCCAAGATCACACACTGGGTTCCCTGCCTTCCCGCGCGTTCCGGGCTGCACAAGCTCTCTCGGACTTTTCCTCTGTGCTTTGTCTCTGTTTCTTTGTGCGCTTTTCTCGCTCTGCGTACTCGGTGTGTTTCTTTCTCTCTTCCGGCCCCGTCCCTTCTCCTTTCCCCTTCACTGAGTTCTGGACTCTCGAGGACTACACACCCCGAGACCCTCGGGTCTCTCCCTGCCCGGCCGCCCCCGAACACCCATCCCAGAGCCCCGGGGTGTGTGTGGGCGCGCGGGCGGAGGACCCGGCC